GTACAATAGCGTATTAAAGGTGTGCGCACGCTTCGTCCCCACCCCTCACAAAATAAAAAACGCTCCCCCTGTCAGCCCACCCCATTGAAAATGTTTAAAGCAAAAGTAATCGCCTCATATTACCTTTTGCGAGTTAGTGCCCCCTTACTATTTATCGAGCTCTCCCACTTCAAAATCTTAATAAAGGTTGCCCCTCGTTTCACGGAAAAGTGTCCACTTAATAGGGGTGTCCCCTGAATAGAGGTGTCCCAAATAAGAGGTTCTACTGTAATTCTTGTAAACCAACTGGGATGTATCGGATAAAAGGAAGCTTTGGCTGCGGTAGCGGTGAGTTGCACCCATAAAAAAAAGGCAGTTTCCCACCTAGGCATCCCCACCCACTAGATATTGCTTAGTATAAAAATTGCTCAAGTATATGAAAATCACCACATTTTGACCATCTAAATCCCTTTTACTTAATGATTGATCTCCCCCCACCCCCCACTCACCTAAGGTGAGGATTGGCTGCAAGGAAAGGTAAGTTGCAATTAGCAACAAATTGTGGTTTTGTTGCAGCCTCTTTTTACTCTTTTTATGCCCAAACCTGTTGTAAGATATGCATACAATTTCTTTTTCTCTTTGACAAAATGTTGTTTTCAGGAAATACTAATTTTTCATCGAGGAAAATCGTCCGGAAAAAAACGTCGAATGACATGTCTTAAAAAACCCCTTTCACCAACCGTTTTGTCGCGACCCAAGTGTTCGACGAAATTTAGAAACGACTCAAAAAATGACGTAGACTATCATAGGTCTGACTTGTCAAATATTTTTTTATTTTGAGTTTTTTTTATTTCGAATAATTTCAAAATATACAACAATTACAACATAAAAGTCAACAATAAAAATAACATAATGTAATAATCACCGATATTGTACAATCCCTTTTAACCTAAAAGAGTTAATAGTAATAATAATAATAATAATAATAATAATAATAATAATAATAATAATAGTAGTAATAATAATAATAATAATAATAATAATAAAACTAAATAATAATAATAATAATAATAATAATAATAATAATAATAATAATAATAATAATAATAAAACTAAATAACAATGATTATTGACTTGTCCAATGCACACGGCAAACTGAGATATAGTTCATTCTCCAAAAATACCATTGACAAGTTTTCGACAAGTGTGCGTCTGTCGACTTTGCAGATTGCACATAAAAATTGTTAAAAGAATTCTGCTTTTTTTATATTGACGACCAAAGCTGAAACTTATTAAAGTAAATACGTATTAAGGTTGTCTTATACGACCCAATATTTATCCAGTTAGAAATTTTAGAGATGATGGGTGTGTCAATAGACCAATTCGGTGGTGGGCGTCACGTGACCGGACTTGGGTGTTGGATGTAAACAATGGACTGGCGCAGCGGTGTCCTTTGTTATTGCTGAAAATATCATCTAATTCCCAGCAAATTATGTGTGTATTGTGTTAGGCATATTATTATTTTTAACAATTCTAAACTATAATGTGCAGTGTTATATAAAGACAAAATACTATCAACCTATATTTTTATGTATACGTTGCTTTATAGATTT